CAAGGAATGATTTGAGTTTAGATGAACTACCGCATCATGCGCTCAAGCAAATGAGGAGCAGTGAGATGTGATCCTCAAGCCAACCATCCTAAGTATAGCACTATATCGTCAAATGGTTGTATCTCATGGTGGTCGACATAGATATTGAAGTGCATGTCCTTGGCAGTCAAGCAATTAAGATACATTATGAAAAAATCTATCACCTGGTTCCCTCTGAGCGGGGAAAATGCAGATGCACAAGGCATATCCTCAATATAAGTCGAAACACAAGACCAGTCGGAGATGCACGGAAAGTGCTAGAGGGTACAAGCCTTAAAAGTGTTGGAACACACAAATCATTAGTAAGGGTGTTGCAAAAAAGTAATGAAAATAACACATGAACATTAAAAGACCAATAAATATTATCATCAATAGTGTGATGCTTCCTGTGACCTGCTTCGTCTTCCACCTACAAACCTTTGATACCTTTGAGTACAAGTAGACCAAACAAGTGCCCTCTAGTTGCACTCATGGATATGCTCGAAGTCCTCAAAGTACCGCAGGTAGACATCATCTGTATAAGTGGCACTCTTGTCCATAAACATTGCACTGCCAACGAAATATAGTAGGTATGCTCTTATAGCATATGCTCTATGGAGCCCCACCTGCTCGTCATCACCTCTAGCCTCGTGTACTATAAAGATCTCATATGTATATACCTTTTTCACGAACTTAAACCTAGCATGAGCCTCTCTGGTTTTTTCCATCTCTGTCATGGCATCCTCTGGGTTAACTCCCAAATAGTCTACCATCATCTCAAGTGCATCGTCTCTACTAATCCTCCCATGATCTAGAAGTTTCCCTCTGATCGAAAGATGAAGCAAACACGATACATCGTAGAGTGTGATAAACATCTCACTAAGCGGGAGATGAAATGACGAGGTATCGACGTGCCATCTCTCCACGAATGCATTAAGCATCTCGTGGTTGACCGTAGTATAATTGGTCATGCATAATTCCATTCTCTCATATAGGGACAAAGTTTCCTGAAACTAATCTTCATTCGGTTGAGTAAAATCAATAATCCTCCGTCCGTGGTTAATACAATTTAGCAGATTACGGTCCTGTAGAAAAATAAGTTAATGTCATAAACTTGTAATATAATAATAAAAGTAAATTAAAAATAATGAATCCAACTAATGTTACCTATCTGTCCCAGATATGTCTAACAGTATGGTCTGGGTAAAGAGGCAGTAGTGACATGACAACTCTACAGGGCCTCCTCAAAATGCCTGAGGTGGCTTTGGCTCATCATCTTTAGTAGCCTCACCATCCAGAGGAGGCACTGGCTCAAAAGAATCATCATCCAGAGGTGGCACTAGTGCTTCAGGTACCACAGGTGACTCGGGTACCTTTGGCGTTTGAATAGGAGAAACATGTCACTTGTGGGAGGATAGAGGCAGTGATGCGTCGGTAGGTGAAACTTGTATCCTATGGGAAGAAGAAGATGGAGCAGCATGAACCCTAGAAGTAGATGCCTCTGCATGGCTAGAGTGAACAGGAGCTTGTGAAACCTCATTTTCTCCCTCCACATTGATGCATATTGTGCAATCCTCTCCTGCCTCAATCTATCGTCTTTATCAGCCATAATTCCTATAAGTAAACCAAAAAATTAGTACAAGCAACAATACAAGCAAGATAATATAAAAAAAACAGACTGATAATTTCTGGAGATGCATCTCCAGTTAATGGGAAACTAAACGTTGAAAAGTTCTTGAGATGCATCTCTGAAATTTTCTGTTAGACAATGGGTTTTGATCTAGAGAGGGTGAATAGTTCACAAATTTAGAATCAGACTTTTGGCAAAAATGGTTTTCAAAATTTTTATGGCACAACAGAAACAACCAGAGTCAAATCGTCTAACTAAACCTTTATTGAAAAGCTCGGATATGCGTAAAGGAACACAATTGAATGATAATGAACACAAATTGTTCAACAATAACTAATCACAAACAATTAAAGGCTAAACTATACGTAGAACTTATTTCCAATTATCAAAAATCACAAAAACACAACAATGCAATTTATCAAATACCTTGTGCGCAATCGATATCTTTTGGAAATTTGATTTGTTTTTTTGATCCAAAACTAATCACAATCAACGGGATTATGATTCTATCAATAAAACATAATTAAAAAATATGATCAAAAATAATTTCCAATCAAATTGATCAAACAATAATGGATTTAATAATTTGCTAACATAAAAATTGAGAGAGAGAGAGAGAGAGAGAGAGAGAGAGAGAGAAAGAAAGAGAGAGAGAGAGAGAGAGAGAGAGAGAGAGAGAGAGAGAGAGAGAGAGAGAGAGAGAGACGTACAAGGATTTGTTTAGGCAGTTCCCTAATCGGCCTCGCTATGACTATGTATGTCCTCAATTTTAATTTGAATTGAGATACTTGCAACTAACCTTACTTTGTAAAAAGTGTATATACAAGAGATGAAAAACTCTAACCCTATAAACCATATGGTTTGTTATTGATTCTACCACCTCCAAAACCCTTGATCAAAGATTGATCAAGTCACCAATAATTCTGCTTCAATTCACAAATTCTTTCTACTTCCTTGCAAGACACCTCCTTGTCTAAAGGCTTTCACATGGTCGAATTAATCCAAACCGCACACATGTTGAAATAGATGATTTACCAATATGATCAACTGTGTCACGCTACTCCCTTGCAAGGCACCCCTTGTCCTAAGGCTTTCACTCGATCGGATCCGAATTGCGTAATGTTGTCCAAAACCTTCAAATCCTTAATGATCTTGAAGGAAAACCTCTGCTTGGTTTTCTTATTTGAAACACTAAAAGAATCAACCCAATATTCTCGGTACAACTACCTAATTGGACTTTATCAACCCTAATCTAGATGGTCACCCAATAAAAAAATGATAATGTGTAGTCTGATTGTGTGTATGCATAGAAGAGAGGTTGAATATGATGAGTATGCCTTAAAATTCTGGTTTCATGCAGGTTTTACTCTAGAACCTTACTAGAAAATGATGCATGTATCAAATATTTATAAATATGTAAGTTTGGAAGAAAAAAGAATGCAAATGAATGGAGGAAAATATGAATTTTTGAAAGAAAACATTGAATACGTTGACCTATGAAAGCTATAGGTCAACCTATCAGAGCAAATGTGTCGACCTATAAAGGTCTTGTGTTGACCTTGTGTCGACCTATCTTGATGAGCACATAGACAGTGGCTACATGCTTTATTATTGATACATGGGTGTCGACCCAAGAAAATTATGTGTCGACCTATGATGAAGTAAAAGCTTCTATAGATCGACCCGAACACGTATATGTCGACCTATGCAGTAGTGTTTTCAAAAAAAAACTTTGTTTTCAATGCATTTAATGCATCATAATGGTAAGATGCACATATAGAATCAGAGGATACCATCCAATATACATTAACACAAAATTATCCTAGTTTTGACATCATCCAAAATACATCTAATAGAAAGTTTCACTCACATTTTCTACAACTCTTCAGATCCTTCAATGACGGCAATGCAGACATACGAAGCCTAGAAATAATGGTTTGATCATTATTTTCAACCAACAAACATGTTTTACAGTATGTATAAACATCATTCATGGAATTTCTACTCATTTACACACAAAAAAACTCAAAAAAGTTTTTAAAACATCAAAAACTTACAAATTTAGAGTTTAATTCAGTGTTGGATGATGTCTCTTACATACTTGATGTTTATTGAAAAACCTTTGAGCTTAGTTGTTTGATTTTGAACTTGGTTGATGAAATTTTTTTTTTGAGAGTTTGAGAAATTTTTATATTTTTTTAGAAATGAGGAAGGAGGAGGTTCTGGCGCAATTTAAGCTCCAATACCTTCTGGAGATGCATCTCTGGAGTTTTTTAACGTTAACTTAGAGTTCTATGTACTCAGGGTGCGTCCGGAGATACATCTCTAAAATCTGAAGGCATTTTAGTATTTTTAATTGGTACTCTAGTAATATATAAGATGCATTAAGAAATTCTCAAATAAAAACCATGATCCATCTGAAAAGCTCAGTAGGATTTTTGATAAAAAAAACAATTGAATTTAAAAGTGCAATTTCAATCTTCTTCATTAAAAACCAAATATGAATCAAATCTAATAAAAAAAAGATTAAGATATTCCATAATCCTTATCAAACGAATTAATATTAAAAGTTTTTTTTAAAATAACGCACTTTTAATCACACTTTTGATTGAAATAAAAAAGAAAACAAATCTGAAGCAAAATGCCAGAGCAATATTCAAACAAATAGATGACACGCGCCAGAGCCAAATAGAGACATGATACCTCACACTTAAGTTAGGATATAAATCAAAAATCCTTCTTACAATAATTTATCAATCAAATGTATTAACATGGTGATTAGAGAGTTTTGAGTTTGAAGTGAACCCCAAAATTCTAGCTAACAAGATGAAGACAATCTCACAAGCTTGAAGATATGGAAGATGAAGAACTACAACCTTCACATAACTAAAACTCTAAAGTTTATCCCTTAAAATGTCAACTGAACGACAGGGCCCAAATTATTTATACGACAAATATTAAAAGTCAAACATACTTTTTATATATTAGAAAATTGACAGTCTATATTATCTTTCTTTCTTATAAAATAAGTTTTAAGGCGAAAGAATGGTAGTCTAGTCCAAAGTAGTAAGACTTTAAAACTTAAAAGAACTCACAAAAGAATGTGTTTTTATCTCTTTTTTTAGTTAGGAATTTAAAATGAACTTAAATTTAAAAAATGAAAACTAAACTGAGTTCATGGTGCACATCTAGTCCAAACAAGGGTTCTTCATTCTACTAAGGTTTAAAATCCTAAACCTAGGTTTGGGGACCTCAGTAGTTTCGAATCTTAGTCTGTTGTGTTTGCACCTTTGTTATTCTACATTTCTGGTTTTTGCATGTTCAATCTGTAGCATAGGCTGTTATCTTTAGCATGAAGAACGGAGGTTGGGTGGAAGTTCGGCGGAAAAAGGGTCATGACCGGATTGGAAAATGCTCTGTGTGGACTGCATCGAGAGGAAAGGGTGTGGGAGATAGCAAAGCCATATCGTCTTTCTTCTTTACTGAATTTTTGAAGGATTTCGGAGCTAAGGAGATGACGGAAGTTTTTAAAGATTATGGTATTATGCGGGAGGTTTTTATTCCGGTGAGACGTGACAAAAGAGGTAAGCATTATGGATTCGATGGATTCAGGATGATAGTGGATTACAGAATTATGGCGATGCTGGTTTTCAACACAAAAATTCCAGTGGAAACATTGGGAATGTAAAAGAAGCGTCAAACATCAAAGTTTTCAGAAAAACAACACGATAACTTTTGCACTAATGGTACGGTGGAAACCTTCATTTTACTTTACATCTTTTGCAATATTCATGTTCATGTGCAATGATCTAAGCTTGTTTTTTGTGTGTTGCTGAAAGCAATATTCATGTTCATGTGCAGCACAATCCATAATTACTTTACATCTTTAGGATAATTTGTAATTTGATTATGGTTTAGGATAATTTGTAAAATTTGATTTGAAGTGAGAGGTAGAATTCAAACCCTAAACCTCATACTTAACATCTTTATCATACTACCAATTGAACTCGTTGAATTCTTTAAAATAAAAAACTCTTTAAAAACATAAAAAGTTACAAAATTTAGGGTAAGAAAATATGAAACTTCAATATATATATATATATATATATATATATATATATATATATATATATATATATATATATATATATATATATATATATATAAGTCATCAATTACAAAAAGTGGCTAATATCCAATCATCAACCCCTGCACACACTACACGCAGTGTTTAAATGATGATGGAAAACGCAGACACATCAATCACCAAACACTGTTTTAAATGGTTCATCTCAAATCAAATTAAGGACATCGCACCATTAAATCTGACTTCCACAGGCCTTGGGTTCCCTTTGTGTATCGATATAAAACTCAAGAAGACAAATAGGAATAGCATTAATCCAACAATAAAAGCATATCCAAATGCCAGAATAATGATAAACCAAAAGACAGGTAGCTTGAATGAGTGGGCGCAAGCAACGTGAATCTTTGAAGCTGAAGTCTTTTGCACCAGCTCAACAAAGTAAATGCCTGTTGAGCAAAGCCAAAGTAGCCCAGAAAATATCTGTGGTGCAAGTTCTAGTGGTAATATTAGGATAAAAGTTATTATCCAGCAAACTATGTAACCGGTTATGTGCATTAGCTCAGGATAGAATGCACCAACCGCTCCCTCTAACGTTAACACTGGCTCTGGGTGTTTGTGGTTTTGTAAGCTTGAAAGGAATCAAATCGAGTGGGGCAGGTCTTTGTGAGGAAGCTTAGGGCACCTCCGGATAACAGTAGGAAGAATCCATAATGTTTTGGTTAAAGATTACGTATGCTCCCAGTTGCATAAGAAATAAAATCTTTCCAGGTAGATTCATTCAGTTGGGCAACATCATTGTTGAAAGGTTCAAGAGTAAAGGTACACCTAGACCTTCATTGTATGTGTCTAGTTTGAACAAACTTTCTTGCCAAGAATCAACATGTTTGCAGGAGCCTTTCACAAATGATGAAATATTGCTGGCCTTGGAAAGTTGTGACGATAATAAATGCCCAGATGGTTTCGGTTTGGAATTTATGAAACAGTGCTGGGAGGTGGTTGGAGAAGACGTGATTAGATGTATTAATAATAATTCATATTTTATTATATTACTTTCTTAAGCCCATAAGTTTGTTAGAGGGTATTTTAGTATTTATCTTATTCTAGTAACCCTAGTTTTAACTTATAAATTGGGTGACAATCATTGTAATCTAATATCATGTTTTGTAGCCGTCATTCTCTTTAATAGAATATTTCCTATTTCATCATTTATTCTATCTTTGCACCAACAATTGGTATCTAGAGCTCCGGTTCAGATTTATTGGGAAACACGGGAAACACGAGTGTTTGATTTTGTTTCTCAGATTCTTGTTGAATCTTGAACAAAATCTGATCAGAATTTTTTAATTCTGTGGGTTGGGAAACACTGTGTGAGAAAACTCTGAGTGTATTGTGCAAAGTAGAAGATGAACGGAAACGGCAACATGAACACCAAACTTCCAGTATTTGATGGTAAAAATTGGAATCGTTGGATGATCCAAATGCGTGTACTGTTTGGTGCTCAAGATGTTCTGGATCTTGTCACTGATGGTTATGTTCCAGTAGCAGCAGATGCGACTGATGAACAGAAAAACGCGCAGAAGGAAGTAAGGAAGAAGGATCAGAAAGCATTGTTCTTCATTCATCAATGTGTGGATGTAAACGTGTTTGAGAAGATTGCAGACTCTACAACAGCAAAGGCTGCATGGGACACTCTGGTGAGATGTTATGGTGGTGACGCATCAGTGAAGAAGGTGAAGCTTCAGTCCTTGAGAAAGCAATATGAGAATCTCAACATGAAGAATAATGAGAAAGTTTCTGAATACATCTCCAGAGTGATTCTGATCACTAATGAGATGAAGGCATGTGGAGAAACTCTTTCTGAAGAAACAATCATGGAGAAAGTGTTGAGATCCCTTACTCCTCAATTTGATTACATTGTGGTAGCAATAGAACATTCCAAAGATCTGAGCACCATGAGAATTGAAGAGCTGCAGAGCAGTCTAGAAGCGCAAGAGTTGCGTTTGATTGAGAGAACTTCTGAAAAGGAAGTAGAGCAGCAGGCTCTGAAAGCAACTTCTGATATGAGGTATCAGAAGCAGTCAGAAGCCAGGAGAAGATCTGATGGTGGTCAGAAGTCAGAAAGCTCAACCTCTGATAGACAAAAGAATGCTCAGAAGGGAAAAGAGAAGTATGACAAGAAGAAGATCCAATGTTACTGTTGTAAGAAGTTTGGTCACTTTGCTAGAGATTGTTGGTCAAACAAGGAGAGAAAATCAGAAGAAGCAAATATAGTCAGAAGTTCTGATGACGAATCTGTGCTATTGATGGCCTCTGAATCTGATGATCTGACAGACTGGTGGTATATGGACACTGGCTGTTCAAATCATCTTACTGGAAACAAGAAATGGCTGGTTGACTTTGACTCTGAAAAGAGAACAAAGATCAGATGTGCTGATGACAAATATCTTAATGCAGAAGGTATGGGAAATGTCAGAGTGACTCTGAACAATGGGAAAATAGCATTGATTCAGAACGTGTGGTATGTACCTGGCATCAGAAGCAATCTGATGAGTGTGGGACAATTAATTGAGAAAGGTTTTTCAGTTACCATGAAGGACAATCTTCTGAAGCTGTATGACTGTAATCAGAAGTTGATTATGGAGTCAGAACAGGGAAGGAATAGAACATTCAAGGTGAATGTCAGAACTGCAGACTCAGAGTGTCTTAGTGCAACAAGTACTGAGAAGGAGAGTGAGCTGTGGCACAGAAGATTTGGTCATTTGAATTTCAGAAGCTTACAACATCTGAATTCAAAGAAATTGGTACATGGAATTCCTACAATTAAGAAGCCTGAAAAGTCATGCAAAGTTTGCATGGAAGGAAAACAACCAAGATTGCCATTTGCATCAGAAGTTGCTCCAAGAGCAAAACATGCCTTGGGAGTTGTACACTCTGATGTGTGTGGTCCATTTCCAGTAGCATCAATTGGAGGGAATAAATACTTTGTGCTGTTTGTTGATGAATTCACAAGAATGACATGGGTATCCCTTATTAAGTTCAAACACGAGGTGTTTGATGAATTCAAGAAGTTCAGAATGAAGGATGAGAATCAGAGTGGTCAGAAGTTGAAGATTCTTAGAACTGATGGTGGAGGTGAGTATAACTCCAAAGAGTTCCAGAAGTTCTGTGAGGAGAATGGAATTGAGCATGAGGTCACTGCTCCTTATACCCCTCAACACAATGGTCATGCTGAAAGAAGAAACCGTACTTTGCTTGATATGGTGAGAAGCATGCTAAAGGAGAAGAAGCTTCCTCAGAAGCTCTGGGGAGAAGCTGTTGCAACTGCAACGTATGTACTCAACAGATGTCCTACGAAGAAGTTGAAGGAAATAGTTCCTATGCAGAAGTGGACTGGAGACAAGCAAAGTGTTAGTCATCTGAAGGTGTTTGGTTCTGTTTGCTATAAACATGTTCCAGAAGCCAGAAGACAGAAGCTAGATGATAGAAGCAAAGTGATGATTCTGATAGGGTACCACAGTACAGGTGCATACAAGCTCTATTGTCCAGAAACCAATAAAATTGAATTCAGCAGAGATGTGATTGTGAAGGAATCAGAACTTTGGAATTGGGATAAGTCTCAATCTGATTCTGATGTTAGAACTTCTGAAGAAAGGTCAGAGTTAAGAATTTCTGAAGTTGAAGTAAACTCTGACGTTGATTCTGACTCTGATAGTGATTCTGACTCTGGAGAAGACTCAGAAGATGAAGGTGACTCTGATGATCCAGACTCTGATGGTAATCCAGATTCTGGTGGAAATTCAGACTCTGAAGATGGCCAAGGCTCTGGAGGAAGTCAAGCCTCTGAAGCTAGAAATTCTGAAGTTCAAGACTCTGGAAATATGCCAGATCCTGAAGTTGGTCAAAGCTCTGGAGAAAGTCAATCATCTGAAGCCCAAGACTCTGAACAAGTTCAGAGACCACAAAGAATCAGAAGCGTTCCCAGAAGATTTGCAGAATTTGACATACTGCAAGACACTGAAGTAGACTCTGAAGGAGAAGTTATTCAGTGTGCCATGATGGTAGACTCTGAACCCATAAGTACAGAAGAGGCTCTTAAGCAGAAGCTCTGGCTGAAGGCCATGAAAGAAGAACTCGATGCTATAGAGAGAAACAAGACTTGGAAGCTGACAGAACTTCCAAAAGACAAGAAAGCCATCAGCGTCAGATGGGTTTTCAAGCAGAAGTTAAAGCCAGATGGTTCAATTGGCAAACATAAAGCAAGGTTGGTAGCCAGAGGATTTCTACAGAAACCTGGGCTGGATTACTCTGAAGTGTTTGCACCTGTAGCAAGACATGAAACAATCAGAATGGTGATTGCAATAGCTGCTAACAGGAATTGGCCTCTGATGCATTTAGATGTAAAATCTGCATTTCTGAATGGTCCATTAGAAGAAGAAGTTTACGTGTCACAACCTCCTGGATTTGTGAAAAAGAATCAGGAAGGGATGGTGTACAGATTATACAAAGCTCTATATGGACTGAAACAAGCGCCCAGAGCTTGGAATCAGAAGATTGATTCATTTTTCAAGAAGCAAGGCTTTCAGAAATGTGAGATGGAGTACGGT